TACTGGCAGACCCCCAGCAGGTGCTTTGGCTCCAACGTCCCTTGTTCCTGCGGGTCGGGTGGAACAACTGAAGCCCCCCGTAATTGTGACGCTGGCTGTGCCTCGGATACTCCTGGCTCCTACTGCAAGTACTGGGCTACACCAAGCACCTGCCATTCATCCAATGCGCCATGCACTTGCGAGGCTGCTCCAGTTACCACTACTCCAAATGAAGCCACCGATGAAGTCACTGAGACCACCACAATCCAGGACGGCACAACTGCCGCCCCCGAAGAAACCAATACGGCCACTTCTGTTGCTGTCGACACTACCGGAACTGTAACTACAACCGATGCGGCTGATGTTACTACCGACGCTCCTGTCGAGCCTACCACTGTTGCACAAACGACCAGCGCAGCAGCTCCGTCGGAAGTAACCACATCTCCAGATGTTACTGGAGAGGCCTCATCCACCACATTTGCTGCTACTACAACAGACGATGTCACCACCAATGCCGCGACTACAGCTGACTTCCCAGTCACGACTATCAGTGCCGCCACCGCCGTTGTTGTCACCACCGAAGCTCCAGCGACAACGACAGAGGTGACCGATACTCAGGCTACCCCCAGCCCGAGTGTGTGAAGACATTTAGGAATGAAGCTTTGAAGTGTTTAATGAACCGCATTTTGACTAACCCGCGGTATCGCATGCTATCTTGATAACGAGTGAATGAGTATTGATCGAAAGAGTTGCGTCGATAGAGTCGTTCGGCTCTCACATCGCATAAGCTTCTTTCATGCAGCTCATGGGCGGCGTCGTTATGATGCATTTTAAGTATATAGTGAAACATCACGATGACGGATGATGCTGGTCAACAAGCAGCAGTCCTTCGTAAACGCTTTCACTTTAGGTTTCGGGTAAGCAGAAAGGCGACTCGCAAGTATGGTAGGATAGTCCTCGATTTGGCAGGGAAGGAGTGTAGCGTAGCTTCGATCGACCAATTCTAACACCGAACTCATATGGACCTATCGACTGTAGTTTCCTTGTGAATGTACCGTGCAAGCACCCCTTATCGCAACCTTTGATTTCAATGGCTTAGTGTCATTCACGAAGATGGGCGATGAGAATGCGGTTGGTCTTATCAACTCAGCAACAACGTGTTGATGTTCGCAGACGTCGACATCTCGGCGATTTGAACTACCGCATGCAAACCTCAACGGTTAACCATGTTCCTGCCACAACCACTCGGCCGAAGTGTCTAACATTAACTTCAATGGGACGAGTCATACTATCCAAAGGGAAATCCGTCACTATATTTGCTTGCCACTAGGTATGGACTATACCCACTGCGGGGCTATGACTGTTTAGTATCATCTATCGGGCCCCTCTCAATGCAAATCCCCCGTCAACCTCCCTAATTTCAAAAACAATCCACATCCACGGGACAAGATTTGCTCTGTGATTGCGTTATTCCCTTCACGACGAGGCTTTCGTTAAAAGCCTGTCAGCGTCGTGGAGAATGAGTGTATACCGCACTGAGCAAAGTATCTTGTGAAACGGATGGGCGATACGTATGCTCGCCACAACAAACAAGCAACAGTCAGTGGGGTTATCGACCCTGGATGCTATGACAGCTCGTAAGTTGGTAATTGTGCACATCACACTCGAAGTGTGTCTTCTTAATCATCAAGTTAGTCTCAGCTTCCCGTCGCTCATTTGCATTTGTCTATGATGGCTTCACGGTCTTTCTCCGCTGTATTCGTCGCCCTCTGTGCCTTCCAGGACATCAAATTCGTGACGGGCAACGCCACTGACTGCGACACTGAGTGCGCGACAACTTACCCTGGGTCATATTGTAAGTATTGGAAGACGCCAAGCACTTGCTTCGGCTCGGATGCCCCGTGCTTCTGCGGCACGAGTGAACCGACTGAAGCTCTCCGAGGTTCCACATCCTCTGCTGCAGTGACGGATGAGATTACTGAGGCCACTACAAGCGAAGGAGGTACGACAGCTGCTCCCGAAGCAACGAGTACGACTGGTTCTGAAGCTACTGTCGAACCCAAAGTAGCGGCCAGTACAGCTGCTATGACCGATGAGGTTGCTGTCACTACTGCAGCTCCTGTGACTGCCGAAGTGACCATAAGCACGGCAGCTGGGGAAGCTCCCGGTAGAGACAAGGATGATTCTGATGCTACCACCCAGGTCGCTACGGAGGCTGCGACTGTCACGACCACGATCGGTGCCCCTGTTGAGCGTACTACTACTATAACATCCCCTCTCTCGGTCAGCACAGCTGCCGTGACCGATGAGGTTGCTGTTACAACTGCAGCTCCTGTGACTGGCGAGGTGGCCATTACCACGGCAGCTGGGGAAGCTCCCAGCAGAGACAAGGATGATTCTGATGCTACCACCCAGGTCGCTACGGAGGCTGCGACTGTCACGACTACGATCGATGCTCCTGTTGAGCCTACTACTATCACGTCCCCTCTATCGGTCAGCACAGCTGCTGTGACCGATGAGGTTGCTGTCACTACTGCAGCTCCTGTGACTGGCGAAGTGACCATAAGCACGGCAGCTGGGGAAGCTCCCGGTAGAGACAAGGATGATTCTGATGCTACCACCCAGGTCGCTACGGAGGCTGCGACTGCCACGACTACGATCGATGCTCCTGTTGAGCCTACTACTATCACGTCCCCTCTATCGGTCAGCACAGCTGCTGTGACCGATGAGGTTGCTGTCACTACTGCAGCTCCTGTGACTGGCGAAGTGACCATCAGCACGGCAGCTGGGGAAGCTCCCAGTAGAGACAAGGATGATTCTGTTGCTACCACCCCGGTCGCTACTGAGACTGCGACTGTCACTACTACGATCGGTGCTCCAGTTGAGCCTACTACTCTTACGTCCCCTGTACCGGTCAGCACAGCTGCTGTGACCCATGAGGTTGTTGCTACCACTGTGGAGACGATCGATTCCGAGACTACTCTCAGTCCGATTGTGTAGCCGATTTAGGTTAATGAAGCTTTGTAGTGTCCCGGAGTGCATTTTAATACAATCCTGGTCACTGCAGGATGTCTTGATAACGAGTGTATAAGTGTTTATCTGCCCGAGTTGCGTTGAAGGATACGTTGAGCCCCAACATCACGAGAGCATCGACGATACACCCAAATATGAAACCTATCTGGAGTGCACCAGAGCTACCTGAGCGTTCGAGACAGACGAGCGAAGGCGGGCAAGCCGCGCCAGACTGACAGCGGTGGGTGTACTCGCTCACGCTCTAGCATCATGCTAGTAGCATGAGCTCATGTTGATCCTCTAGGGTCTGAATTCCGATTGCTGATATACTGACAATTTCGTTGATAGTGAGTTCAAGTACAGAGGTTGGATATCCTAGAACCTCTGATGTATCCTTGACAGCTCAATGTGTTCTTATCAAGCTTGACATGTGTGACGCCGAGCAAGCATCACGGTGGCTGCAATCGGAGGGCGAGCTTGTTACTCGCGTAGCTCCCTATGGGGATCAAGCCAATTGTGGTGCTGACAGCATCGTGCTGTGTAGATGCCC